TAGGTTGATAACATTTTACTTAAATGTATATTACGTCTGCAGGACTTTTGATATTGAAAATGGGCCATGTAGGTCCAGGACATTATTCACCGGAATTGTTTCAAATTTGGTATGTGAAGTTTGTTTGTAGTATCCATACAGCCTATGACAGAAAACTGTCTGTGCAGGTCAACGTCTTCGTGCAGCACCCTTTTAGCGGTACCTCCCTTTATTCGGTATTTTAATGATTTTGCCTACATTATTCACTGACTTTTTTTCATGTTTCACATTTGAATATTGTAGTGGCTTTTTACTTTTTTCTGAGATTTTGTTGATGTTATGGCGAAATGTAATCAGGTTTTGCTTCGACCAAACATAATTTCCAAAGTTTTGAAAAAAATACTCCGATTTTGGAGCTTTTATAAATAATTGAATTTTGGCAACCCGTAAAATTAAAGTAAACAATTCCTCTTTTTGTACCGTCCACCATACATAGTATGGAGGGTATATTAAATTCGTCATTCCGTTTGTAACTCATCGAAATAATCATTTTATACCCAAGAAAGTAAATACATTTTTGATGTTTGATGTTTGCCATGTTCGTCCGTCTGTCCGTCCGTCTGGCCGTCTGTTGTAATCACGCTACAGTCAAAACGAATTAAGATAGGAAGCTAAAATTTTGCACAGTTCTCTCTTTTGTCTGCAGGCAGGTCAAGTTCGAAGATGGGCTATATCGGTCCACGATATCGTATAGCCCCCATATAACGGTACCCCCCGATATTCGGTATTTTGATGATTTCAGACACATTTTTCAATGGATTTGTCTGAAATTCTACACAAGGTGTTCATTGTGTGTACTTTATCCCTTGGAAGAGAATTATTTTTATAGGTCCACGATATCGTATTGCTCCCATATAACGGTACCCCCGATGTTAGGTATTTTAAAGATTTTAACAGAATTTTTAATGGATTTTATTTTTTTTTTTTTTTGAAAATTTTCTAATTCGTTCCAAATGGTGGAGGGTTTTCAAAGTTCGACCCGGCCGAACGTACTACTTTTTTACTTGTTAGTGGACAGTTTGACTTCGGTTTGGTATTCAAAACCACCCAAACTCTTTGTGGCCTCATGTACTCTGATTTATAATTGTTTAAAAATTAAAAGTTGAGATTCATTCTTAACAAATTTAGCATTTCGTAGATTAACTGCAAGATATATTGGTAGATCTTTAAATTATTTGATAAAATTCATGTTGGATGGTAATGAAAATGCAGACGAACATAACTCCAATGTTTTTCACCAAATTAGAAACATTTTCAGGTTTTAGCCAATTTATAAACCCTGTTAAAATAATAAATCATCACTAAGTCAAGTCCACATTGTGGTATAGCCCCCTATTACGGAACCCCCTCATTTTAAGCATTTCGACGATTTTCCAAATCCCTTTAAAAAATATAATAATATGAGTCCACATTCTGGTATAGCCCCCTACCTCTCTATATTCGGTATTCTATTGGTTTTCCTAATGTTTTCCTCGGAATTGTCCGAATTTTCCTTTTTGTAAATTTCGAATGGGTTTCGAGCTGCTTATAAAATAATGTTGCTATAGGTCATCATTTTGACTTTGGAGGCCACTACTTTTTGGTTTTCAAATGTTTACACCTGATTTTGTAGATTTCATCCTAGGAGGTATAAAAGCACCGAACATATCTACAATATTTCCAAAAAATATCTACAATATTTCCAAACAAAAAAAATTGAGATCTTAAAATTTCCTATGCCTAAGATTTAAAAATTTCAGAACTCCAAGACCCCATTGAAAGAAAATATTCACCCTTGTATCTTCCAAATTTGTCTTGAAGCCCCCATATACCCCCTCATTTAAAGCATTTTGACGATTTTTGGAACATTTTTCAATGAAATTGAAATATTGATTATAAAAGTCGACATTGCGGCAAAACCACATTTATAAACATACCGAACTACATTCGGCTTTGCCCAATTTTTTTAACGGAATTGTCTGAAATATTGTATTTGAAGTTTCGAATAGTTGTAGAACTGCTTTCCAAAATATTGTTGTTTAGGTCCGTATTTTGATTTTGTATATATCATGATAGAGGGTATTAAAAGTTTACGCCTGCCGAACTTACTACTTTTTCGTTGAAACCTGATTTTTTTCATTTTTTCATATTTCAAATAAATATAAATGAACTAGCTGGCCCCGTCCGCGTTGCCGGCCAGTACTTTTAGTCTTTAGCGCATATTTTCTAAAGCATAATAGAGCATAGACTTATGTGAGCGGGACAATTTTTATCATAAGTAAAACAACTCCATAGTAATTTCTAAATAGAAAAAACATTCATGGCAAAAATTATAAAAGATAATCACCCACCGTCGCTTTTAGATAGTTTGAATAGCTTGATCTTATTATTCAGCCGTAGGCTTTAATTGAGTGTTAAAAACCTATATGATATAGAACATCTATAATAATCCCATGTTGAAACTTAATTTTTGGTATTGTAAAGAGCTTAGCGAATTTTTCCCTTCAAATGAGCTGTAATTTGGGATTTGTATTTACAACGATTAGAATACCGTGCTGTGTGGAATTAGTCCACCTCCACCTTAGTCCACCTCATAATTAGGGGCAGAATGATTTCAGAATAGTCAAAGATAATTACTCTTCTACATCCATAGCCATAAGAATGGAATTTACTTATTTTTGTCATTTAAATTGTGCATTGGAGACCCCATAAAGTTCATATTAGTAAAGTAATTACGAATATTAAATCATTGATGGTTATACCAAAACGTATTCATTTTTTGCGAAGATTGTTCCTTCTCAAATTACCAACCTTTGCTGAAATGAGTATTCAAAATATGGTTAAAATGTAAACTATACTCAAAATCGGGATATACCCTTAACCAAAGGTCATATATCATGACCTGCAAAAGCGATTTAAAATATTATGAAAGTTAAGGAAGAATTTCTGGAAGGATATAAATCGTTTTTTACTAAATGTTCAATTCGCTCTACCATATTTACTGATTGCGGACCCAATGAATTGCTTTTTTTTTTGAGTTCTCGTTCTCACATCAAAGAGATTGTTTTTCATTTACATTTTTATTGGCATATTTTACCGCGATTTTTGGCAGGATAACGTTCCAAAATTGTATGAATTACAAAATCCGTCAAGCCGTTCTTTAGTTATAAGCGTAGTACCTAACACATCTTTCTTTTATATTGTGAAAATAATTCTTTATTTTGTTTACAAAAAATCTACTGACTTCAATATGATAAGTCAAATTAAAAAAAAAAATCGTAAATTATACAAAATTGATAAAAAAAGCTAACTGAAAAAAGAAAAAAATCTTCACCTTGTTCGATAATTTTTTTAAAGTCGAAATAAAATAAAAACAATCTATTCCGTTTCGCCACAACATAATTCGGTACCACAATTCCATGTAACCCGCCTTCAATTTCTGTTCTCAAGAAATCAAGTCAATTAAATAAATTGGTTTTAATATTCGAATTCAAAAATAAAATATAAAAAAACACTACAAATGTACATTAGAAAAAGTAAGTCAAAAAGAAAAAAAAACATAAAAAAAAACATTACTATTGTACATTTCAAAAGTAAAAATGAAAATGTTAATATATCACATTTTTAATATAATAATTTTAATATAATAATTTTTAACATAATAACAATTCTCAAACCGATATCTTCATTATGTTGGCAAATATAAGGATTTTAGATAAATCGAAATAGTGGGCAAAAAAGTGGGCGTGGTCAATATTTTTTTCTTTAAAAACCTAACTCGGGGTATGACGAACGTTTATACAAAAAATTATGCAAATCGGTCCAGCCGTTCTCAACTGATCCCGTTACCAACAAACAACAATTGATTTTTATATATATAGAAGAAGAAGATAAATAAATAGGCAAAAATAAATTTGAGATCTAAAAGTTTTCTATGCCTAAGATTTCAAAATTTACAGAACTCCAAGACCCCATAAAACAAAATTTTCACCCTTGTATCTAAAACATAGATCAAATTCGAAGATGTGCCAACTTTTTTCACCACCACCTCATTTTAAGCATGCCGTCGATTTTCGGCACATTTTTCAAAGGAATTTTCTGAAAGGAAAAATATACCAACAAAAAAGTGAATATCTTTTGTCGATTTTTTTTTTTTCAATATTTGTCATATTTTTTATCGCATGCGATTTTTCAATTTGACTTACAATTTTGAATTGTAAATTTTCTAAATTTTTACACCCCCCAACACTACGTTTTGAGGGTATTATATGCATGTCGCAATTATCGTCCTCACAAAATTTTGCATGGGGGTACGGTTAGGATCAGAATTACAGCCTATTGTTCTTAAGATGTACATTTAGAGGTTCAAATGGGCTAAAAAAAATATTTTTTTTTTATTTTGTAGTCGCTCTATAGGCCACAAGTGAAAACTCATCGGTACGGAATTGTGCATCAGAAGAGAGTTAAGGACAGGGAAGAAGTCTAGCATTTTGGATGACCATTGAATTATATTTAGCTCTAAAATGGACCACAACTTTCAGGTGTAATAGTTTTGAATACTTAACAACTCTACGGAGTGCGTAAATATTGCCCAAATTCTTCGGGTTAAAAACCTAAGAGTAACCTCTGGGCCGGACTCTTTGACTTTATTTCAAAAACGAAATCTTCCAAAATGGATTTGGATATAAGGGAACTTCGAACGTATTGTAGTGTTGAAGGGTATCACATGGTCGGCCCCGCACTGCTATAGCCTTTGTTTACTAGTTAAACGTTGATTTCATGGTAGGACGAGTAATAGGATTTAATGGTAGAAGGTGTAATAGCACCGAACATAACTGCAACTTTTCCAAAAAATTAAAATTTAATTTCAAAAATTTACTGTATTTAAGATCTTACAATTTACTGAACCGTTGAAACAAAATTTTTACCCTTATATAAAAAAATGTCAGCTTTATAGAAAATGTGCAATATGCACCACCTACCTTGTGCACTAATCCGGCTCCTTTCTAGCTGTAATGTGGTTAATCCGAAAATAAACAGCATTGTCATATATTCCAGCAACATTTCATGTGAATTTTCACACAACACAGCAATGAAGGTGAAAAAATGAAAACGCCAAAGAAGAAAACGTAAATTTACACGTTCATACATATAATGGCCAAAATCAAGGACGACACTGGCAAAGGAATGACAGATTGTCTCGAAGGATGACACGGCACGACGAATTGACACGTTCTTGGGAAAAGTTTGTGTTTTTTGTTTATTTTGCAGTTTTTTTTTTATCGATTTCTGTTAGATATCAAACAATGTTGATAAGGGCATAGGTGAGCCAGATATCCTTTCTGGGGTATAATGCTTAGGTGTTGTTAGGTACTAATATTGGAAAAGCGCACACACGTATACACATCCAGTAAAAACACTTGTAGTTGGTTCAAACACACATAACACCACACAGAACGTAAAACTACTAAACACTAGCTTGCTATTGTCGCTTGATTAGTTTTTTGTTTGTTGAACGGAGAGAGTGAGAGAGAAGGGGGGAGAGAACGGGATTTTGAAGCTTAAATTTCTATAGACACCCAGTCGATGTTGATAAAACACAAAACTAATATTTCACACTACGAAGCTATGCGGGTCTAACAAGTTGTGTGTGTGAGAGATTTTCACTTTGCTCCAGCACTTGCCCCAAGGTTGTTCGTTTTATGGCAGAGGAGACGAGGCAACTTTGTTAGCCTGGAAATGCTTATCTTCCAATCTGCTTAGGGTTTGTTTTCAATTTGCCCATAAACAGCATGTTATTCACCACAATTTATTTTTTCCGTTTTATTTTTTTTTATTTTTGGGTTCTTTAAAACACTTAAAATGGAAAGGATCCTTTTTTCGGTTTATGAACTTGTTTTGTGGGGTTTTTATATTTTTCTCTTTTGGTTTTTTGTTTTTATTTTCCTTTTTCCGACTTAGTTTTCGTAAAATTACTGGGTTTGTTATTTGCTTAGTTAACTTTATCCGATTTCTTTTTTGTTTTTGTGATTACAACAATTATATTACGTGTCAAGTCCACCAACACTTCTCATCACTTGATTATCCTTGGCAGGGGAAGGGGGGGATTTTCATTACACTCTGAGGACAAACATTGTTTGACTCTTGAGATGGCTAAACAGAGATAAAGCAACGTTTGTTTTTTGCTTTTGCTTAGATTTTAGACCTTGCCTGAGGGGTTCACCAACAACCATTCACAACCAACCGAACACCTGCATTTCTTTCTATCTTTCCTCTCTCTCACTTTATGGTGTTTGTTTTTCTTAAATGCTTTCAATTTAGATTCAATTTTCTTTTCACTTGTTTGCCAGAACCTTTTTTCTTTCCTTCTTTTCTTAGAAAAAAAATTTCACTTTATTCTCCAAAGGGACCACTTAAATGGCAGCTCATTACGACCACAATAACAACAACTACTGGCAAACGAGTGCGGGGCGGTAGTGGCAATGGTAATAGAAAAAAAGGACACAATTTCATTTATTATCCTTGAAGTTGTACTTGTGTTTGCCTGTGTTTACACATTGTCACTTGCACTGGTGATGGATGCCTTGATCGGCGATATCGGAACATTTTGCCATGGAAAAATTCATTGGCACCAACATCAGCATCATTTGAAAGAAAAATAGATTTTACCGGAAAACGTTCAATGTATTACATTCCGGTCCTATGTAAATATTCCGAAAAAACTCGCCAACAAAAAAACAAAGTACCGAAAAATATTGGACTCGTGTTATTCCGGTCCAAAGCAAATATACCCAAACACACACTCGCACGCACGCAGAGAATATAAACACTTTGTTATTCGTTTACATTCGCTTTAGCCACACAACAGAAAAAAATAAAACAAAAAATCACAGAAATTGGGCCAAGTTTTACTACGGCTACACCCCGTATTTGCTGCTTCCTTCGCAAAGGCGTAATATTTCAAGCATACAAAACAGACACACACACTCTATGTGAGACCGTTTCCGATTTCGTCCGCTTAGCTTTGAGACAGCTTCAATGCGTATTTCAATGACCTATTGTAAGCACGTACGTTTAACTACTAACTTTAGTTCGGAACATTTTCACACAAAACGGAGATCCATTGTTAACAGCATTCGGCAACGAAAGTGTAATACTCCCACAACCGAAGAGCGCCGTCTCCATAACTTTTGTTGTTACAACTTGAAGGCGCAACGGGACAACATTTCGTTGGTTATTCTCTTCGAAGTTGGAGATAAATGGCTGGCAACATGTTGCCAAGTGCCCCCGTGAGAAATGTTGCGGAGCACAGTTTTTTTGCAACATATGTTGACAAAGGACTTGTGTTAACAGAGTGGGACAGTGGTGTCCGAGGCTAAGTATGGAAATATAAATAAAAAAAATAATAATAAAACCAGTAAAGATAGTCCTAAAGTCGGGCGGGGCCGATTTTATGATACCCTACACCACTTTGCTAATTTAGTTGACAATTAAAAGTTTTTATGGGAGATTTCAATCATACACCCTATGATTATAATTATAATTTAAAATTCAAAGGACTAAATATGCCGAAGCATTTGTTTCTTTTAAATCCGGACTTGTATTGCCCATTTGGTGCAAAATTAATTTGAAATCAGATAAATATTCATATGGGAGCTTTATCCAAATCTGAACCGATCTCGATAAAATTTGGCAAATATATTTCTGAGCTGTATTTGATATATTTCCCTGAATATCGTTGCTGCGGAGTGCATATTACGGCTGTGGGTAACAAATACTACAAATCGGATGAACAATATATATGGGAGCTATAGCTATATCTGAACCGATCTTCACCAAATTTGGCATACTAGCTTCTAGACTCAATTCAGTCGTATGTACCAAATTCCATCCCATTTGGGCAAATATTAGACGTTTGATGCACAATAAAAGATAAATCGGACGAAGTTATATATGGGAGCTATATCCAAATCTGAACCGATCTCGATAAAATTTAGCAAAGGTATTTCTGAGCTGCATTTAATATATTTCCCCAAATATTGTCGTCATAGAGTGCATATTACGGCTGCGGAGGACAAAAATAACAAATCGGATGAACAATATATATGGGAGCTATAGCTATATCTGAACCGATTTCGATGAAATTTGGCATACTTATTTTCAGGCCTAATTTGGTCGTATGTGCAAAATTCCATACTATTCGGGCTGATATTACACGTTTGGTGCACAATAAAAGGCAAATCGGACGAAGATATATATGGGAGCTATATCTAAATTTTTACCTATTATCTCCAATTTCAATAGGGTCCGTCCTTGGGCCAAACAAATGTTGTTCGGAAAATTTCCTCTCAATCGGATAATAAATGCGAACTGCATTTTGTTCACAAGAATACATGGACAGACGGACGGACGGAAATCAACTTAGAAAGTGATTCTATGCAGATCATCAAAAGGAACTATCTCGTTTCCTTTTGCCTGTTACAAACAAATGCACAAAGACATAATACCCTGACCACCTTGTGGTGTAGGGTATAAAAACTAAAACGGATCCTAGGTCGTTGGCTAAGTGTCTGCAGAGTAATTCTGTTGGGATTTAAAAATTTGACCTAAGAGTTTTAAAATGCTGCTAGAACTCCTTTATTTGAATCGCTGCCACTGTGGGTGATCAAGGAGATATAACCTCATTTTTAATACCCTCCATCATAACATTCGGGTTATAAAGTTTGACATTCAGTTCGTAAACTCCTCCAAGTTACAATTTTTGAACCAACAACGCATATATATTCATTATCAATGTAAAATTAGAATCAATGTCGTTCCGACTCTCCGCTCGTATGTTTTATTCACGCTATGTTCCGAAGACATAGAGAAATAGCATTGAAATTTGGTACACATGCGTTTTGGGTCCGAATTTAGATCAAGTTCGAAGATGGACTAAATCTGCTAGTTTTTTCATCAATCATTTTAATTATCTTGACGGAATTGGGATAGGTTTTTGGAAGTTTCGTCTTAAAAAAAAACCAGTAAGAAAAGCTCAAAAGTCGGGCGGGGCCGACTATATGATACCCTACACCACTATGCATATTTAGTAGAGCTCTCGTAAAAAGGTTAATACAGGGCATTTCAGAGCTCTATGAGATATTTGGTACAAAATCAAAATCTGTCGTGCATTTTACGAACTATAGCTATCTTTGAACCGGGTTTCTCCAAATTTGACGTATTAGCTTCTAGACTGAATTCGGTCTTATGTACAAAAATTCAGGTGATTTGGGCTGATATTGGCCATTTGTTGCACAATTAACACGAAATCGGATGAAGATACATATGGGTGCTATATCCAAATCTGAACAGATTTTGATAAAATTAAAATCGACTATTTTTGGGCTTTATCTGATATCTGGTACCAAATATCATTCCTGTGAAGAGTATATTACGAATATAAGGGAGTTAAAGAGCAAATCGGATGAAACATATATATATGGGAGCTAGAGCTATATCTGAACCGATTTTTACTAAAATTTGTGTACTTGCTTCTAAGCTGGTTTCGGTCGGATTTGCAAAAATTGATGCTATTACGGCCATTTGGTGGTCAATCACCCGAAATCGGATGAAGATATATATGGGAGCTATATCCAAATCTGAACCGATTTCGATAAAATTACAAACAGCTATTTCTGGGCTGTATCTTATATCTGGTACCAAATATCATTCTTGTGGAGTGCATATTACGAATGTGAGAGGCTTAAACACCAAATCGGATAAAACATATATATGGGAGCTATAGCTGTTTCTGAACCGATTTTCTCCAAATTTGTTGTATTTGCTTCAAGGCTAATCTCGGTCACATGTGCCAAGGTTCGGGCCATTTGGGCTGATATTGGCCATTTGGTGGTCAATTAACCCGAAATCGGATGAAGATATATATGGGAGCTATATCCAAATCTGAACCGATTTCGATAAAATTTAAAACAGCTATTTCTGTGCTTCATCTAATACCTGGTACCAAATATCACGGTTGTGGAGTGCATAGTAGGAATGTGAGGGACTTAAAGATCAAATCGGATGAAAGATATATATGGGAGCTATAGCTATATCTGAACCGATTTTCTCCAAATTTGATATACTTGCTTCTAGGCCGAACTCGGTTGGGTGTGCCAAAATTCAGGTAATTTGGACTGATAGTGGACATTTGGTGCACATTTAACCCGAAATCGGATGAAGATATATATGGGAGCTATATCCAA